GAGAATGTGCAAACTCCACACAGACAGTCACCCGAGGGTGTAATTGAACTTGGGTCATTGTGCATGAAACCCAAAATGTTACTTTGCAGGTGCAAAAAGTAATTGAGAAAGGAGATAAAATTGACTGGAATTTGGCATTTATAAAGAGTGAATTCTTGTTACAATTGTATAGAATGCTAGTGAGGCTGCACCTGGTGTATTGTGTACAGCTTTCGTCTTGTGTTTAAGAAAGGAGGCTTTGGGGGTAATTCCAAACATATTCACTCGGCTTCTTTCTGGAATGAAGTAGTTGACCTATTGAGGACAGTTAAACAGGTTAGACCTTTGTTAATTCGAGTTTAGAAGAATGAGGGATGTTTTTATTGAAGCATACAAGATTTTGAAGGAGATGACAGAGTAAATGTTAGGAAGATGTCTCCAGAAGTTGAGTAATCTCAAACAAGGGGACATTGTTATGGAATAAGGGGACACTCATTTCAAACTGAGCTGCAAAGGAATTTCTTCTCCCAGAGTGTTGTGAATGTCTGGAATACCCTGCCTCTGAGAATTATGGAGGCTAGATCACTGAAAGCTTTCAAAGAGGAGGTAGATGGATTTTTGAAGTTGAAGGCTATGAAGAACTGGCACAAAAAAAAGTCATGAACTTACAGAATAGCAGAGCAGGCTTGAGGGTCCAAATAATCAAGTTTTTTTTTACTCATTCACAGGAAGTGAGTGTTGCTGGCTAGACCAGCATTTATTGCTATGGGTCTGGAGTAGGCTAGATTAGGTAAGGATGACAGTTTCCTTCCCTGAAGGACATCAGTGAACCTGCTCCTATTTTGTATGTTCTTCAATAAAGTCCTTGTGTTAACACAGTGCTGTGTTACACACTCAAAACAACCAGTGCCCCAAGCCAAGGGGAGGTTCATTTTGAGTTTAACAGTGCCCCAAGCCAGGGGAGGTTCACTTTAAGTTTAGCTCATGCCCAAACCAAGGGGAGGATCACATTGAGTTTAAGACACAAAAGTTACATGGTAGAATGAAACTTTGCAAAACTGTTCTTGCCAAGACAATGACCTGGGCTTGAGACAGGAAAGGGATTAACTGGGATGAACTGAGTAAAGAAGCTGACTACTACACTGATTGAGGGGATCAGAGGTGACGCTGTCCATCGAGTTCCACAAAATGAGTGAATGCGATTGACATGCGGAACACCACAGGCCTGACTGGCAACAGGCCAGGAATGATACTTCCACAGGTTGAGAGAGTGGTGTGCCACTCCCCATTAGGGAGTCAAGTTAGTCCTCTGTTAGTGAGCATGGCTTGGGAAAACCTCAGAGAGTTCATACTGTGTTGTAGGATGTGGAACTGAAACTCGTCCTTTCGAAGGACCATATATGATGCCTTACATTATTTTATTGAACCCCCCCCAGCCTGACTTAAAATGGGCTATGGAATCACTGATGACACTTTGATGAAATATTATGTTTATTGGGTTTGGGAGATCTGAACCTGATGATCCTGTGCACTCAGAAAGCACAAATACCTACTGACCTTGCCAGAGATTTTACCAAAAGACTTCTCAAATGATATAAGAGGCCCCAGCCCACCTCCAAACCAATGGATCCAACTAAAAACTATTGTCAGTTGAGAGGATAAGGTTTGCAGACAGATGTTTCTGGCAGACAGTCAAACCTGGTTCGACAAGTGATTGGTGCTGTCTCTAGGCATAGGCAAATATTACACACAACCCTCAAGCTAGGGAGAAAGTGATTTTATCACTGAAGAAATATCTAGTTTGGAAACTTATGTGGATTTTTCACAAATTGCACCTGAACCTCCACCCCACCCCCCACCCCACCATCATCATGACTGGTAGAGAGATGCAAATCAATCCTTAGAAAAGAAATGCTTGGGAGACTTGGTTTAGAAAGTTCCAAGAAGAAATTTACAATGTGCTTGACTGACGATCAGATTGACACCATCAACTCTCAGTACCTGTCGTGGCTCCAGCACCAAGCTGTGACTGGTCAGTGTAGGTGACACCTGGACACTTACTGTGAACTACCACAACACTGTGGGAACAGTGAGTCATAGGTCATTCAGGCAACAAGTAGCAGAAGTTCATAAGACTAAATAATTTGTCGCAGCAATTTCAAAAACAAGCAATACAACAGGTTAAAGATCCCCTTTGGCCCATTCTCAAAATGAAACCAACCAATTTCAGTGCTAACTCCACAGACGTCCAGTACGGTTATGTGGGATCCAGTCCTTGGGAGTTATTGACAGTAACCCCATATTCAATAAATTTAAATTTCATTTCTGTTCAAGTGGCAGGAATGGCATACAACATGGCCCAGATCTGGAAAATGGTCAACAAATTGGAAATGAGCGAAGCTAGGATGTGTATCAGCTGGCATTTATCCCCAAGATGGATGAACAATGTCATAACCATGCAGTCAGCAGCTGGTATAGGCCTGACCAGACTGTTCATATGGGTAAAGGGAAGGGATGCCTTACATCACAGAAGTGAGGAAAGGAAACTCCTCCTCTACAAGTTGGTGTCTCTGAGATATGGAGGGTCAGGTTCAGTGGACTACTCTATAAAGGTACACATTTGCAATGTGAATGCATGTGCCTGTGGTGGATGAATTTCAGAGAACCGTACAAGCAAACTCAGAAATAGAAGAGAGAGAGAGAGTATGTAATGCAAGATCACAGGTGGTGAGTAAGTTTAGTAGAAGTTGGCCGATAGCATCAGCAAGAACACGTGACAGGACGTGTGGGCGAACCTCATTGGATCCCAGTCACAATGAAGGGAGGGCTGAAGACTGAGATAGTATCACAAGAATCATCAAGCATCAAGGACACCTCATGGCTCCAGTGTAAAAGCATGTCTTTTTGTGTTACCACAGTTACACTTAATAACATTCCAAACAGTCAAAATAAATGATATCAGGTTAGCAAAAAAAAAAATCTGAGCATATGGCAACCTTGTGCACCCAGCACTTCTTTAGATGGATATTGGTGGACTGAGTGTTCTTGTGTGTACCAATTTGGCTTTGAGCATCAGTATTCTATGAAGGCCACAGTCAAAGAACTATTGTCTAGGCACCCCTGTGTTGAACCATGTGAGTGCTAGAAGTGAGAGAACTAACAGTCACACAGCTGGAAGCAGGAAAACAAAGGACTCGCTCCCTCACTCTGAATCTTGGAATTTAATCACAGTCAACAGAAACAGCATTCCAGAATCAGAATGAATCTGCAAAACTGAGGATTGTAAGCCTGCCAGTTCAGCTTTGAAGGTCAGTGCTACAAGTAACTTCTGCTCCAATGACTACAATATTCATCAATTTACTCTTTGTGAGCGATTCAGAGACCAATCCATATATTTTTTATTTTAAAATTTTATCTTTTTGGACTAGCCTCTTATTTCTAATCTTTGTATATATGTGCTTAATTCTTCTTGCATTTAGTAAATAATAAATTCACTGTCTTTGTTAATTCAAGAAAGCCTGCTGAAATTGGCTCATTTGTGATGATAAATTCATTTGGACCTGGGAGAATTTTATCCACAGGGGAAGAGACCCTTTGCAAATTAATCTCGCTGTGACCAAGTGAGGGGATGAGTGAATAAAGAAAAAGACAGTTCATTATTTTTCACTCGGGTGCTTAATAATTTGGGGAATCCTTTCTGGAATGTAACAAACTGTGGAAACACTGCCAGATTCTGGACATATCAAAGGGAATTATTGTGTCTATTCTTCATTACCATCTGCCCAGTTTTCCACCTCTTGCCCTGCCGTGTTGCAAATCTTGGGTCAGTGAAAGAAAAAGAAGATAAAAGCCATGCAGTGGAGGAGTCAGGGAGTGAAAGGAAGAGGTGGATGCTTAAATCACCAACCGCTTATAAAGCAGAAGATATCTATCACGGTTATCTACCTTCAACCGATTTCATTCACTCTGCATGATGGCAATGAATGACTGAAGGTTTGCCTGGATCTCCTAACAGCCACTGCCAAATTTGTTGGATCTACCTTTCTGTAAGGACCAACAATCTTTCCCTAGGGGAAGCCACGTGCACACTCCTGAGACATAGCAACACTCACAGGCTGGTTGCACATCCATACAATGACAGACAACTCAGTCAGATGTCCCCTTACCTTTTACTGTAGCTACCCCGGTCATAGCAGCGTCAATATCCATTGGGACTCAGTGTGGATCTGGATCTGCACAACCCTCCAACCATCAGTGATCTCAATTATCAGAGAAAATAGTATTTGGCTATCCGGCCCATTGACCCTACTCCATGCAGCTAGATCATGTTTGATCTACTTCCGTGTCATTTCCTTGCACTATCCCTGTATACTTGAATATCTTCCATTGCTGGAAATCTATCAGTCTCTGTCTTGAATAATATCCCATGTCTAAGCCTGTACAGACATCTAGGCTCACAGACTCCAGCAATTTTTCAGGCAGGTCTGTGATATGATCCAGTAGCCAGACCGTGAGACTGACACACACACGCATACACACACGCACGCGCACATACACACACACACCCCAACGTGACAATATTCCCAATGGGGGAGAGAACAGGGGAAACAATGCATCTCCCAAATGTTCTTCATCCTCCCCAGAGATGGCTGGCTGGTCCCAGCTCCCATTATCTATGTGAGAGAGAAGGAACATACCCATGTGTGCACGCTGCACCTGAAAGTCTCTCCTCTCATCTTCTGTCACACTCTGGGGGTTGGCATCTCACCATCTACAATTGCCTGGCTGTTTTTGTGCCCTATCAATTGCAGACCCTCCTCCGCCATGGGGACAGTGGAGGCACAGGGGGCAGCATGGAGAATGATGGGGATGGGGATCAGGATGTGATCATGATCATAGAATCCCTACAGTGTGGAAACAGGCCCTTCAGCCCAACAAGTCCACACCGACTCACAGAGCATCTCACGCAGAACCATCCCCCTGTAACCCACCTAATCTACACATCCCTGAACACTACGGGCAATTTAGCATGGCCAATCCACCTAGCCTGCACATCTTTGGACTGTGGGAAGAAGCAGGAGCACCCAGAGGAAACCCACACAGACACGGGGAGAATGTGCAAACTCCACACAGGCAGTCGTGCAAGGGTGGAATTGAACCCAGGTCCCTGGTGCTGTGAAGCAGCAGTGCTAACCACTCAGCCACCGTGCCACCCTAAATGTGTAAGTATAATCTACCAATTTAGCATTTCTTTGGCACTGTGTGGTCACCTTCACATGTGCTCACAGACAGAAAGCTGTTAGTGTTCTAGAGGAGTCAAGTGTGATGCCTCTGTTGGTGAGGGACTAGCAGACTGTGATAGAGCAGAAGGATGGCACTTGGCTATAACTGCACTCTGTCAAAGGTCTTTGTGATGGTCAACATGCAGAAAGAACCATGCATCTGATAGGAGCTTGACCAACCTGCCACTGACTGGGGGCAGGGGTCAATCCAAACTCACAGAATTATGAAATTGTTCCAGTCCAGAAAGAGGCCATTCAGCCCATCATGCCTACACAAGTTTTAGTGCCTAATGCCAATTTCCTGACTTTTCTTCCTGCCCCCACACAGCGTTTCTGTAAAAATAATCAACCAATTCCCTCTTGGATACCTCAATCAAACCTGCCTCCATCACATTTCCAGGCAGTACATTCCAGATCCTAACTGCTCACTGTGTGAAAAATTCTTTTCTCACTTCATCCTTATTTCGCTCGCACATTACTTTCAAGCTGTGCCCTTTTGTTCTTTTCTTCTTTTGCAAGAGGATATTGTTTCTCCTTATCTGTTCTATTCAGCCCACTCATGATTTTGAAAACCTCTATCAAATCTCCTTTCAGCCTTTTTCTCTCCAAGGAAAACAGTCTCAATCTTTTCAATCTATCCTCATGATTGAAATTTTCATAACTGAGATCCCTCTCCATCAAACCCTGCCCTCTCACGTTGCCATATCCAAGCCCAAAAGGATGAAACATTTTTCCTGAACAAGGTCATTGATACATTTGTGACACAGTGGCCACAGCTCCAGATCTACTGACCTCCTCTGCAATCTCTGCCCAGGCTCACTTTCTCAAGAGAGTCCTTCCAGCCCTGGGAAACAGAGCCTCTTGTCTTGCCCATGCAGCCCAGAGAAGCAGCTGTGGGGAAAGGCATTACTGAAACTGAGGCCAATGGGGCTTTCCTTCGGCCTTTTTGCTGCAGGTTCCAAGTGAAAGTCCTCGGTTGATCTCTTAAAATGAAGGATGTGGAGATGATGGCAGCCAAGGAGAGGACTCCTCTGTCTAGAGAGCAGCAAAAGTACAATGGGCAAACATCTAAATAAGAGACCACAATTGCTGATTCCAACCTCACTGACTTCCCAGCTAAGACCTTCATCTGAATGGACCCCAAGTTTTTATTGTAACAAAATATATATTCCCAAAGGCAGGAGATTGCCTTTAAAATCGCCATTAAAACTGGTGTCTTTGATCATTCTGAGCATTTAAATGTCTTTAACTCTGGATTAAAGCCTTGGTTATAAATAAATAGCAACTACAGCTATAGATGGCATGGTGGCTCAGTGGTTAGCACTGCTACCTCACAGCACTAAGGGCCAGGTTCAATTCCACCCTCAGGTGACTGTCTGTGTGGAGTTTGCATGTTCTCCCTGTGTCTGCGTGTTTCCTCCCACAGTCCAAAAATGTGTAGGCTGGGTGGATTGGCCATGCTAAATTGCCCATAGTGTTCAGGTTATAGGGGGATGGGTTTGGGTGGGATGCTGCGAGAGTCAGTGTGGACTTGTCGGACCAAAGGGCCTGTTTCCACACTGTAGGGATTCTAAGTACAGCTGATACAGAACAGAAAGCTACTATGTTGTAAGTGGTACAAGTCAGTTTCCCTGTAAAAGTAATAGGTTTATTTGTTTATCAAAACAAGGATAAGGTGGATTGCTTCTGAACCAGTGATTTGTTGCTGGATGTGAGCTGCAACTGCACATAGTTCTTCATCCACTGATATGCAGACCACGCACAAAACCTTTCTTTATTCTTTTAATGGGATGTGGGCATTGCTGGCAGTGAACCACTGAACACCCAAATGGGAAAGGCACCCAGTCCCAGTGTCTCTGTGAGGACCTACAGCCTTACCGTTAAATCTATCTCCTGGAGGACTCTGCAACATTAGGATGGTACTGACAGAATCATAGGCCATCGTAAAATATGAAATCAGAGATTATTTTCAAACTCACTCAGGAGGTTTTGTTAATTATTCATGGGCTTTGGACACACTGGCTAGGCCAGCAATAATTGACACCCAGCAATTAAGAGTCAACCACATCGCTGTGGGTCTGGAGTCACATGTAGGGCAGACCAGGTAAGGACAGCCATTTCCTTCCTAAAGGATATTAGTCAACTAGATGAGTTTCTCCCTTGACAATCATAAATTGTTTCATGGTCACCATTAGACTCTTAATTTCTGATTTTGTTTAAACTGAATTCAAATTCCACCGACTAGCCATGTTGGGATTCAAACCCAGGTACCCAGCTGTTGGCATTAATGATCCAGCAATAATAATACTACGCGATTGCCTACCAATGCTAATCAATCACATGTCAGTGGAGTTAAGATCCAAAACTTGTTTCTCAACATTAATGGGAATGTCTAAATTGCAACTCATTCCTACTTTAATGAAAAATATAACCTCTTCTCCAAAGAACTCTTACAATAGGTCTTATGAGCAGTAACTTACTCAAAAACATTGAGTCTTTGGCCATTCTTAGCTATCTTCCACATGTTGCTGCTTCCTCCTAACTTGATGGTTCCTTGGATAAGAACTGTTAAAAATCCCAGTACCATCACAACCATCTGGAAGACATCTGTCCACACCACCGCCTTCAAGCCACCCTGAAAGTGAAAAGAAGCATGAACATCAAGGCCAACGATTCATCCCCAGGAGGAGTCTTACTTTGTCAAACAATACCATTAAGATATAATCTCAGAGAGTGGGAGGTGGCACGGTCAGCTAATTTGCATACGAGGAGAAAGTCAAATTGATCTGACAGTAACTTGGTTTAATGTGGATGGCAGATGTGGTGACCCAATCATAGTGGGGAGCAGAGGAGTGCAACTGGTTGTCAGGAAATGGCAAATCTTTGTTGTGCCTAGAAACTGACAGTTCATGGATAGTGGATTTATTGGTAACTTGTTGGGGCTAAAAGAAACACTCTCTGTTACCCTGGACCATAAGAAGTACTGTAAAGACACATTACAGATTCAAACATTCTTACTTGTTGGTTTCCTACTTGGTAGACTGGGCTTAAAAATAGACTGTGCTTAAAAATACTCTTAAACTAGAAGTTTCATGATGGTCTACCAGCATCTGTGGAGAGAAAACAGAGTTAACGTTCTGAGTTCAGTGACCCTTCTGCCGATTTAGTTCTGATGAAGTGTCACTAGACCTAAAATGTTACCCCTGCTTTCTCTCCACAGATGCTGCCAGACCATGATGAGATTTTCCAACAATTTCAGTTTTGTTTTGGGTTTGCAGCATCCACAGTTCTGAGGCAGGGTCACTCGACCGAAATGTTAACTTTGGTTTCTGTCCACAGATGCTGCCAGACCTGGTGAGCTTTTCCAGCAAGTTCTGTTTTTGTTTCCCTTCTTTGTTTTATTTTTTTGTCTTACATTGGTAGTGGCCCTACTTCTGGATCAGAAATCCTAGGTTCAAAGCCCACCTAAGAGTTTGACGGCTATCAGAGAAGCAGTATAATGGGACCAAGTAATTGAATTTGCCAAACTGTAAATCTGTCTGTAAACTTGTCACTGGTGGGAAAGGGCCAGAGAGATTTCTGGAGGGCCAGAACACTAGAGTAGCTGCAGTGTAACAGCCTGCTGTGCAGTGTTGTTGTGAGCAAGCCTGACCTTCATACCAAGGGACTCTCAGCTACGTAGACTAGGCAGCGTAAACTGGGTGACCGCTTCGCAGAACATCTACGTTCTACTCGCAAAAGAGACCCTGAGCGACTTGTTGCCTGCCACGTTAACACACCACCCTGTTCCTCAGTCAGCATCTCTGTCTCTGGCTTGTTGCAGTGTTCCAGCGAAGCTCAGCGCAAGCTGGAAGAACAACACCTCATTTTCCACTTGGGGACCCTGCAGTCTGCTGGACTCAATATCGAGTTCAATAATTTTAGGGCCTAAACTCTCCCATGTTCTAGCCCCCTACCCCACACACCAGGCCTTGTTAGCACATAGTCTACCATTACACACTGCCTATCGTTCGTCACTAACAGTCCCCATTAACAGCTTTTCACCCTCCTAGCCAGATCATTATCCACTCCTTTGTCTATCCAATTGCTCTTGGGCTCTATCCCCACCTATCGTTTACCTCCTCCCCTACCCCACCACCCTCCCTATTTTCTGCATATAAACCGATGTTTTCCCAGCCACCATCAGTTCTGAGGAAGGGTCACTGGAGCCAAAACATTAATTCTGATTTTTTTCTTCACAGATGCTGCCAGACCTGCTGTGCTTTCCCAGCAACTTCTGTTTTTGTTCCTGATTTACAGCATCCGCAGTTCTTTCAGCTTTTACTCTCGGCTACATGCCCATTGTTAACAAGGAGACATGCAGCTAAATGAACAAACCACCTCCTTTATCCATCCTTTGACCTGCCACCAATTATTCCAGAAATTGGCAGATTCAAAGCTGGTAAGGTTTCTCTTTCAGAATTTTTAAAATGTTTCTCATTGTTAGCCCAAACAAAAGCTCTCTCATTTATAGGAGTTAGTTTTGACCTAACCCACCAGCAGGAAATTGACATAGAATTATAGAATCCCGACAATGTGCGATGCAGGCTATTCAGCCCATTGGCTCCACACTGACCCTCCAAAGAGCATCCCAACTCTATCCCTGTAACCCTGCATTTCCCATGGCTAATCCACCTAATTTATGCATCCCTGGACACTATTGGCAATTTAGCATGGCCAATCCACACAACCTGCACATCTTTGGACTGTGGGAGGAAACTGGAGCACCCGGAGGAAACCCATGCAGATGCGGGAAGAGTGTGCAAACTCCACACAGACGGTCACCCAAGGCTGGAATGGATTGCCGATCCCTGACACTGTGAGGCAATGGTGATAAATACTGAGCCATCCCACATGGCCCGATTTTAACTCGGAATCATTTTGCAGCAGGAAGACCATGAGTTAATTCCCCAGGTTTAACCATGATGGCTTCAATTAATTGCTGACAGTTCACTTCCCACCTGAAACAGCTCAGAAGAAAGAGGACAGCAGCTACCATCCAGGGAAGGTCGATTGATCACTCCCAGATTCCAAGGAAGTTGGAAAGGAATAACGAGTGGGACAGTTTCACAACAAGGTGATGGCGAGGAAATGGAGTGAGACGGCTGGGAAGTGGGTGGGTTGGGTGTGGGAAAGTGTGACCTGAGGGGTATGGGGGTTGGGAAGGCGAGATGTGGGGCAGGGGATATGGGTTGCGGTCGTGGTACATGGAGGATGTCATGGGAGGGACATGATTGTGGGGAAGGGGTACATGGGAGGAGGGTTGAGTGGGGAAGGGAAGACAGAGGGAGGGGAGAAGGGGATGGGGCAGTGTGGTGAGAGAAGGGAAAGGTAGGAAAAACTGAAGGAAGGAGGTCAGAATGGGGTAGCTGATGGGAAAGGGAAGGGGTGATTTTTTTTCCTTTATTCATTCACAGGATGAGGGCATTGCTGGCTAGACAGCATTTATTGCCCATCCCTAATTGCCCAGAGGGCAGTTAAGACTCAACCACATTGCTGTGGGCCTGGAGTCACATGTAGGCCAGTCCAGGTAAGGATGGCAGTTTCCTTCCCTAAAGGATATTAGTGAGGCAGATGGGTTTTTCCTGACAATTGGCAATGGATTCACGGTCATCATTAGATTCTTAATTCCAGATATTTTATTGAATTCAAATTGCACCATCTGCAGTGGCGAGATTCAAACCCTGGTTCCCAGAACATTATCTGGGTCTCTGGAGTAACAGTCCAGCGATAATACCACTAGGCCATCACCTCCCCGTGAGATGTGAGCGTGGGAAGAGAAGAGAGACTGGGGGAGTAATAGGGGATGAAGGATGGCGGTTAGGATTGAAGGGATGGGGGCACTGGGTAGGGGAGAGGGGTGAAGATGATCACAGTATCCTTTGTGAGCCCTAAAGTTGGAATCCCTCATCTTCCTAATCCCACAAAAGAAGTTTTCTGTCTGGCTTGTTGTCAGCCTGGGAGGTTAGCTGATTGACAACATTGACAACAGAAATTTGTAAGTCTCTCTGAGCAGTTTAAACTGGAGATGCTTTTGACTATCTGCCCATCTGATTTCTCTGGGATAGCACTCATCCTCTTTTAGATTGCTGACGTGCTCATAGCTGATAGAATAAACACAATAAATGACATGAAACCTTTGAAGATAAACAGCCATTAAGACCAACATTCCCATTAACAGTGTTGTTGCTGTGCATGACCAATGCATTTGCGTGTGTGGGTCCTTTAAATTTATGCCCGTGTCTTTGAAGCACTGCATGGCCTTTTGGGGAAACTCTACAGCACTGCAGCTTCAAGGGAACATTATGTAATATTTAATAAGAAAGACTTTACATGAATAAAGCAAAAATTTGCTTCAATCAAGATTAAAACATTGAGTGAAAAAAACCGTTGTTTTTAATGGCAGTTCGACTATGAAACTGTTGCACAAATGCCTCATTCACTGAATATCTAATATAAAATATCTTTGCACAAAAACACTTATACGTACCAGGGTGCAGTAGAAGGTGCAAACAATCCCTGTAGCAAACACTGAGCCCCAAAGATTAAAACCAGTCACTAAGAAGGAAGAATGCATATACTTAAAATGCAGATAGCATTAATTAAATATGATTGGTAAGTAAAATTGTTTTAAAAATAATTGGAATTGAAATCACCAATGCTAAAATGGATAAAATGCTAAACTAATTTAGAGGCAGCCAAAATAGAGTTTAAGAGTAAGTGAATCAAATTAAGACCGAATTTGGATTGTGTTGCAATGTTAGGAATGGTCAAAGAAAGTTGGAGGTGACTTTTCACAATTTTTTTTCATGTATCTGTTTTGTTAAAGAAGGTTCCAAATAATAAGCTGAATTCTCATAGGTCAGGTAAGTATGTAATATTTCAATTAGGATCCGAGTTTAACATAACAAGACAAAAGGTAATCCAACAAGCATTTTCTGCCGAGAATTATTCACATGATTTTCATTTTATTATAACATCTGATGATTCACTGGATAATATGAACTCTGTAAAATTGAAAGAAATCCACTTGGTCATGAGAGAAGTTATTGCAAAGGTTGTAATCTTGGATAACTTCCAGTGACATGTGTGACTGAGTTTCGGAATGGGATTACAGGGTAGATGGTTGTATTGATAGGGAGATAGTAGAAGAAGGAGGTTTTTAGCTTCCTGGATCATTGGGAAAGCTTCAGGGATAGGTGTAACCTGCACAAGCTGGATGGGTTACACCTCAACTAGAATGGGTCCAATATCCTTGCTGGGAGGTTTCCTTGCACTGTTGGAGAAAACCAAGTTTTAAACTAAGGTGACAGGGTGATGGGACACAGCCTCGATATAAAGTCAGGAGAAAGGTCCCATCAGATATAGAAGGAATGCTAGAACAATCCAGTAGATGAGAAGAATTGGCAGGATAAGACTCATGGGAGGGCTAGAAATCTAAACAGTATCTATTTTAATGCAAGTAGCTTGACTAGTAAGGCAAATGAATTGAGAGAACTGATCAGCACATTGGAATATGATATTGTTGCGATATAATTGAAAACAGGACAGGACTGGCAGCTCAATATTCCAGGGTATAAAAGTTTCGAGTGCAATGGTAGGGATGTAAGAGAAGTGGGGGCATTGCATTAATGATAAAGGAAACCATCACCGCAGTAAATAGAAAGTATTCAGCCTGGAGCTCGGTGACCAGTGGTGTTCCGCAGGGATCTGTTCTGGGGCCTCTGCTCTTAGTGATCGTTATAAATGACTTGGATAAGGAAGTGGAAGGGTGGGTTAGTAAGTTTGCCGATGACATGAAGGTTGGTGGAGTTGTGGTCAGCATGGAGGGCTGTTGGAGGTTGCAACAGGACATTGACAGGATGCAGAGCTGGGCAAAGAGGTGGCAGATGGAATTCAACCCAGAAAAGTGTGAAGTGATTCATTTTGGAAGGTCGAATTTGAATGCAGAATACAGGTCTCAGCAGTGTGGAAGAACAGAGGGATCTTGGGGTCCACATTTATAGATCCCTCAAAGTTGCTACCCGAGTTAATAGGGTTGTAAAGAAGGTTATGGTGTGTTGGCTTTCATCGGGAGGGGCATTGAGTATAAGAGCCGCGAGGTTATGCTGCAGCTCTATAAAATTCTGGTTAGACCACACTTGGAATATTGTGTTCAGTCTGGTCGCCTCATTATAGGAAGGATGTGGAAGCTTTAGAGAGGGTGCAGAAGAGATTTACCAGGATGCTGCCTGGACTGGAGGACAGGTCTTATGAGGAAAGATTGAGGGAGCTAGGGATTTTCTCATTGGAGCGAAGAAGGATGAGAGGTGACTTGATAGAGGTATACAAGATGATGAGAGGCATAGATAGAGTGGATAATCAGAAACTTTTTCCCAGGGCGGACATGACTATTATGAGGGGGCATAATTTTAAGGTGATTGGGGGAACGTTTCGGGGAGATGTCAGAGGTATGTTATTTACACAGAGAGTGATAGGTGTGTGGAATGCGCTGCCAGCAGTGGTAGTGGAGTCAGATACTTTAGAGACTTTTAAGCAACTCTTGGATAGGCACATGGAGGATAGTAAAATGTAGGATATGCAGGGTAGTTTGATCTTAGTTGGATAATAGGTCGGCACAACATCATGGGCCAAAGGACCTGTACCATGCTGTACTGTTCTATGTTCTATGCTCTATGTTAATGAGGGAATATGTCCTGGGAGGATCTTCAAATGAGGCCATCTGGGTAGAGCTCAGGAGTAAAGAAGACATGATCACTTTGCTGGGATTATATTACAGGCCTCCCAAGTCAGAGGGAGATAGAGGAACAGATATGTAGACAAAACACAGAAACGTCTGAGAGTCATTGGATTATAGTTGCAGGCCATTTCAACTTTGTTGACATTAATTGGGATTGCCTTAGTGTTAGGAAAGATTAGATGGGGTGGAACTTTTAAAGTCATAGAGCCATTGAGTCATACAGCACAGAAACAGACCTTTCGGTCCAATTCGTCTATGTTGACCAAGTTTCCCAAACTAAACTAGTCACATTTGCCTGTATTTTGTTCATATCTCTCTAAAACTTTCCTATTTTTTTACCCATACAAATTACATCCGGGAGAGTTTTTTTTGTGCCAGTACGAAGATAATCCTATGAGAGATGGGGCAATGCTAGACCTAATCCTCGGGAATGAAGTTGGTCAAGTGGTTGAAGTTTCATGGGTAAACATTTTCAGGATAGTGACCATAACTCTGTAAGATTCAAAGTCATTATGGAAAGGGGTAAGGATAGTGCAGAAGTCAAGTGTTTCTACTTGGGGACAGGCTAATTTCATATCATTAGACAGGATTTGGCAAACATAAACTGAGAGCAGTTATTTTCAGATAAGTCTGCATTTATAAAATGAGAGTCTTTGGCAGGTTTAAGGAAAACTCCAAAGCATTTTAAAAGTATATTAAGAGTGAGAAGATTACCAGGGGAAAGAGTGTGACCTATTAGAGACCAAAGGGGCAATTTGTGAATGGAGCCAGTGGACATGGGTGCAGTCTTAAATGAATACTTCTCATCTGTACTCACACAGGAGAAAGACATTATAGCTGGGGATTTCAGTTGAGATGGTGAGAACATGTTAAGATTAATAACGGGAAGGAACTAGATGTTTAACGGGCAAAAAGATGCATAATTCCCCAGGGCCTGATGCGATGCATCCCAGGCTGCTGTGGGAGGTCAGGGAGGGGATTGTTGGAGCCCTGGTGGAAATGTTTAATACTTTTCTGGCCACTGTGACAGGCCAAGGGACAGGGGGATAGCTAATGTGGCTACTTTGTTCAAGAAGGGCAGCAGGGATAGGTCAGGTTATTACAGACCAGTTAGTCTGACCTCAGTGTCAGAAAAATTACTGGAAAAACTTCTGAGGGACAGGATTAAAAAACACTGGCAAAGGCAGGGATTTGTTAGAGGATGGTCCTGTATAACTAATTTAGTCCGGTTTTTTGAAAAGGTGACTAAATATAGTAAGGAGGGTAATGCAGTGTGGACTTGGGTGCAATTGTAGAAGGTATAATTAGTAAGTTTACAGATGACACATAATAGTGAGAATAGTCTCAGACTTTGGTCTGACATTGATCAGCTGGTAAATTGGGCAGAGAAATGGCTGGTGGAATTTAACCCAGAAAAGTTAAATATATGCATTTGGGGACATCTAATAATGGAAGGATATACATAATTAATGGTAGGTACTTAGGGAGCACTGAAGAACAAAGGGACATTGGTGTACAAGTCCTTAGATCCCCGAAGGTGTCAGCACAGGTAGACAGGATACATGCCTTCATTAGTCAGGGTGTAAAATATAGGTGCAAGGACATCTTGATGCAACTTCATAAAGTATTGGTTAAGTCACAGATGGAATACTTTGTATATATCTGGTCATCACTCAATTGGAAGGATGTGATTGCACTGGAGAGGGTGCAGAGGAGATTCATCAGGATGTTGCCTGGGATGACAAGTCTCAATTATGAGAGGAGAGTGGATAAGCTGCGTTCGGTTTTCTTGGAGCAGAGGAGGCTGAGAGGGGTCTGATTGAGGTATAAAATTATGAGAGGCATAGACAGAGTAGATCAGGAGAATCTTTTCCCCACAGCAGACGTGAGTAAGACCACAGGGCATGAGTTTAAGGTAAGGATTAAGCGATTTAGAGGAGATATGAGAAAAAAAAATCTCCCAGAGAGTTGTACATATGGAATGAGCTGTCTGAGAGGGTGGTGGAGGCAGGTGTTCTCATAACATCTAAGCAATATCTGGATGAGCACTTAAAATGCCAGGGCATAATAGGCTATGGACCAAGTGCAGGTAAATGGGATTAGTGCTGTTTAGGTTTGTTGGTCAGCATAGACATGGTGGGCTAAAGGGCCTGTTACTGTATAACTCTCTAACTCTAAAATCAGGGCACTGAAATCATAACTAATCTCAAAGAACAGTAAAATAATAAACTAGATAATTTTTTTACCCTGAATTGTTCTAGAACATGCTAATATACTGTGACTGCACTGTAGATTTTAGATAAAGAAGTCTTATTGATGTGCCTTGTTAAACATGAGTGCACATGAAAAGAACTACAGTGAAAATGTATACCAACACGGATCAAGACATGACAAATTTGCTTAGAGTGTGGGGACCACACAGCTCCCAAAAGAGAGAAATATTTATTTCAACTTTCATTTTACTGGTTAGAAGGAGGAGGAGAAAATAGGAGTTTTCCTATTAGTACAGCCCAGACATAATGAGAGTATACTTTTTGAAATCCCAACATCCCTGTTCCAACATCCGTTGTACTTGGAAGTGCTGTGTAAATAAAGGGGGTAACCATGCTCTCAGCAAACAGTAATAGCTTTAAATGTTGAATTAGCAGAATTTACAACTGCCACTAAACATCAGCTGGTACCGTAGGAGGCATTCAGTGTGAGGAAACAACTTGTAATGTCCAATTAATGACATTTTATTGTACTAACCTTGATTCAGTGCCAGAGCTGGGGCATAAACCACAACACCTGTGTAAAGAATCTAAAGATTAAAAGAACAAATTTAATTTTTCTGGTTTTGCACAAACTTTACATGTAAATGTAAATACTGAATTTCAACAAATGTAATTTCTTACAGTTTGCAGGATATATATAATGGTAGCAGCAACCCGAATCACCCTATTGAACCTCAATTCCAAGTACTGAAAGAGAACAGGAAAAATGAGAAATGTTATCGGATATATTCGCATAACAGTTAAACAGTAGAGAAAGATAATTGTGCATTTTTATGTCACCTTTCAAGATCTCAGGGTGTCCCAAGTGCTTCACAGTCAATAAATTTTTCAAATTGAGTCACGGTTGTTTTGCGTGCAAACTGGACAATCAATTTGCACAAATGTGACACAGGCAATGAGAGAAATGTTCAGATGGCGTTTTGCTGTCATTTGAGAACGATCACTTTTTTCAGGACCCTGGAAGCTATCTCCTGCTCTTCTTCTGTGTTATGGGCTAATTCAAAGCCCTTCCAAATATTTTAAGAAGGTAGCCTATACCCTAATTTTTTCTTATTTTAAAGGTAAATGTGAAGTGCTGTGTTCCAGGTACGATAGAACTAGTCAAAATACTCGACATTAACAAAATACAATTTATTTGAATGCTGTAGCTAAAATACAAACAAAAGACAGAGGAATTTAGAATAACTTCACCATTGGAAAACTTAACTGAATAGTAGATACAGTACCTATTACTAAGTAACTGTTCCAATATAGTAACTTGCCATAAACACACACCTTGGCAAAAAGGTAAATTCAGACACAGATTCTTACATGCAGTTCTCCAATCCAGGAGAAAGAAATATAAAGAGAAGGTTCAGAGAGATAGCAGCTATGAATCATTTGCTGAAGCTTCCAACACTTTCGAGACACCAAACAGCTTCTGAGGCTACTGAAAAAACCAAAATCCAGAAATTTGGATCTGTGAGAGCTGGCCACACCCATTCAGACTGTGTTCATTGTTCCAACCTAAAAAAAAACCTCAAGGCCTCACAAGTTATTTACTTAAGTCATCTTCAGAAGACAATTCAATGCCTCTGCCTTACAACCTCTCCTCAAAAACAAAAAACAGGACAAAATAACCTTTTAAAGTGACAACATCATCACACTGGACGGTGGTTTGAGATAACCTGAGATGGAAAAAGAGGTGCTTGGGTTTGGAAATATTTGTGATGGGGTGGATGGATGGTCAGAAGTTGTGCATCAGCTAATCTTCAAAACAATAAGGTTCAAAGATTAAAATGGGGAAAAACAACACCTTTTACTTTCTTTTGTTTAGGACAACCTTTTCAATTTCATGTCTGATTGTAGAACCTGTAATGCAAATAGTGTGAACAAAATACAAAAAGTTTGTTTGTAGCTATGCTGAAAACAGATTTGGTTGCTGCCCATTAGCACTAATATATGTGATAGTTCAGCAAATGAGGAAATAGGCACCGAATACAGCAATAATTAGCTTCTAAAGCACTGTAAACTGTGGAAATTTACTTATTCATGTATGTCCAAAAATAGCACCTTCTCAAAACATACTTCTAAAAAATTCATCAATAACATGCCTGATCATGACTGTTTGGCACTGGAAATAACTGAGCAGAAATTCAACTCCAATCTGTCTGTCTTGTATCTGAAACATGATCAGCAAGCAATTGTAAAACAGGGAGTTCAGGAGGTCAGCTTGATGGTTACTTGATGTTGTATTGCAGTTTGAACTGTGAACCGTAGGTGGCAAATGGCCCAATGACTGTAGGATTAGTTGAATAACTAAATAAAGATCCGTCATGCGTTATGGACTCCCAATTTTAAACTCAGATATATGTCAAACATGTTCTGATCTGATGCATCACTCAATGAGCAGCTGATCCATGAGACTACTTTTTGTTTGTGTACTGGGTATGGGCAATGCTAGCTGGGGCAACATTTAATGCTCTTTCCCTAATTGCCCAGTGACTGTGAAGAGTTAGCCACATTGCTATGGATCTGTAGATGCATTTGGTCAGACCAGGTAAGGATAGCAGATTCCTTCCCCAAAGCACGTGAGTGAACCGGATGGGTTTTCGCAAGAATCGAAATTAGTTTCATGGTTACCGTCAGACTATATCTTTCTTCCAGGTTTCTATTGAATTCAAATTTCATTAACTGCTGCAACACGGTTTGAACTCATGGCCCCAGTGCAATAACTTGCTCTCTATGGTGCTAATATAATCTATAATTAACAAAGCCACTTCTCCACCCTTTCCTAGCTTCATGTCCTTCTTGAATGTTGCATACCATTCAATGTAAGTAATAACGAAAACTGTTTCCAACTCTCTGAAGATCTCACATATTTTCCCTTTTTCTGTTTAAATTGATAAGATTTTGCTGGCATTTTAGCAATTATCTGAAATGGGTAAAACAAAAATGAGAAATTAATTGCAAGAGCTTTTGGACTTGTAAAAATGACTCATTGACTGAGTAGATCAACACTCAACCGATACTACAAGTTTAAAATTTCCAACAAACAAAATTGTTCTTACTCATTTGGCATTTAAAAAAGACACATTTTGTTAAAAATTTTCAGCTTACACTCATCAGGACATTTCACAAAAATACGAAGCAAAGGGAAAACAACCTTTATACTGTAGTTTAACTGCTCTTATATTAACTTTAAGTCACACAATGCCATTGATATCCTTCATTTTGTCTTTGCTGAACCTCAATCTCTTTGGTAGTATCATACTTGAAAAAAGGCACTACTTATGTGTGTGGAATTTTCAGGTAAGATAAGAGCAGAGAAGCTACAGATCTCCACAGATACTGCAAGACCTGTTGAATTTCTCCAATGCTTTCTCTTTTAATTTCAGACTTCCAACATCTGTAGGATTTTGCTTTTACTTGTACAGATGTTGTTTTACTGTTATTTTAATATTGGTGTGAATTGTCCTGATGAGTGCAATATGAAAAGCTTCAACAAAATATGCTTTTTTTTGAAAAAGATACCTCATGGTCACCATTGTAAATCTTTCTCTACTGTCAGAAAGAGCACGATTTTCAAAATAAGATGGAATATGTGGAACATTTTAAAACTAGTCTATTTTCAGACATTTCACATTTAAATTTGCATTTAAATGTTGCTTAAATGCCAAAGATATTTTTATTAAATGATTTGTCTGAATTTAAAATGCCAACTAGAGTCATAGAGATGTAAACACGGAAACACACTCTTCGGACCAACTTGTCCGTGCTGACCAGATATCCTAAAAGTAATCTAGTTCCTTTTTTTTGTATTTGGTCAATATCCCTCTAAACCCCTCCTCTTCATATACCTATCCAGATGCCTTTTAAATGTTGTAATTGTACCAGCCTCCACCACTTCTTCTGACAGCTCATTCCATACGCGCACCATCCTCTGCGTGAAAAAGTTGTCCTTAGGTCCCTTTTAAATCTTTCCCCTCACCTTAAACCTATGCCCTCTAGTTTTGAACTCCACTATCCTGGGGAAAAAGCCTTGACTATTCACTCTATCCATGCCCCTCACAATTTTATAAACTTATAAAAGATCACCTGTCAGCCTCTGATGCTCCAGGGAAAATAGCCCCAGCCTATTCAGTCTCTCCCTATAGCTCAAACCTCCCAACTCTGGCAAAGTCCTTGTCAATCTTTTCTGAACTCTTTCAAGTTTAACAACATTTTTCCTATAGCAGGGAGACTAGAATTGAATGCAGTATTCCAAAAGTGACCAAACTAATGTCCTGTACAGCTGTAATATAACCTCCCAACTACTATACTCAATGCACTGACCAAAAAAGGCAAGGCTACCAAACACCTTCTTCACTATCACCTATTACTCCACTTTCAAGAAAAAATGAACCTGCACTTGAAGGTCTCTTTGTTCGGCAACATTTCCCAGGACCTTACCATTAAGTGTATAAGCCCTGCCCTGCTTTGTCCTACCAAAACATAGCACCTCACATTTATCTAGATTGAACTGCATCTGCCACTCCTTGGCCAATCGGCCCATCCGATTAAGGTCCTGTTGTACTCTGAGGTAACCTTCTTTGCTGTCCACTACACCACCGATTTTGGTGTCATCTGCAAGCTTACTGGCCGTACCTCCTACATTCACATCCAAATCACATCCAAACAACAAAAAGCAGTGACGTTTTCAGTGGCAATAATGTGTTTTTGCAGATGTGATAAATTCCACATGGCAAGCATTCTGATCATTCATCTGCACTTTCTGCAATAAGAAGGTAATTGTAACAATACAATGCTAATGTGAGTGACATGGGTATTACTTCTTATAAAACAAGAACTTGAAGAAAAACAGTAGCTTCAGAATATAATAACAATGCAAAGCACTTCATAGGAGCATTACAAACTAAATAGCACGCCACATCATGTAAGAATGAAGACGTTAGAGTGGATGAGCAAAAACTGGCCCAAAAGTATAAGTTGAAGTACAAGAGAGGCCAAGAGATTTAGAAAGTCAATTGCAGAGCATAGGAGAGCTGAAGACGTGGCCATAAATTGATCAATCAACATTATACACGTCACCTCATATGTGCTGGCAATTCCTGATCTGTAGAAAACAGGGACGAAGAGTTCTGCTGTGAAGATGACAACAAACGTGAAAGCGATGCAGAAGAGGATGAAAGAAGCCCCATACCGATAAACCTCCGAGGGACCTCCCAACACAGTCACTGCAGACATGAAACTGGCAGTGAGCGACAAAGCGACTGGAGCACAGACCATCTGCTTCCCTCCAACCAGAAACTCACGGGAGGTAGCATTCTTCCTTTCTTTAATGGCAAAAAAGACTCCTATTGCAGAAGAAATTATAAACAGCGATGCAAAAACGACATAGTCCCATGCTGTAAAAGTTCCCACACCAGGATTTGTGAATTGAGTCATTTTGCCTTCCTTGAAGTATCACTCAGACAAAGATATTTCTTAATTCAGAGACAGGTCCTGCAGGAATTGTTCCTGGGTCTTCCCTGTTTAAAACTGACCCCTTCAGGAGATATGTTCTACAACAGATAAAAGGAATGGCTTCTTAATCAGCACACACAGCAAACGAAAATTCAAAATGATTGACGCAGCCTTGGAAAAAGATGTACATTGAGTTATGGTGAAGGCTCATTAAGTCCAAACAAGGTACAACAAATAATGACTGATCTCTTCAGCTTTCATTAGCCAGTTAAAGATTACACTGATCATTGAACCAAGCAGGAGAGTTCTGTTTTACAAGTTAGCAATTTTATTCCAACAATTTCAATTAGTATTCCAAACCATGCATTGCATGAAATAGCAAGGTCATATAGTTCACAATTCAACATGGAATTCAAATTGGCCAGAAAATGAACACTTGGATTATCTATTTTTAAAATGAATGCTGTCAACAGAATTCCAACCTTGACAGTACCTTGCTCACCTAAACAATCATTTACAGGTGCTTTAGACAAATGATGTTAATTGATAATTTGTACTTACCAGGATAAATCTGGAGAATTCTTGACAGTAGAATCTAGAAAAGTAGGATTTTTTTTTTAGGAAAGCCAACTTTACAAAATGAGCTTACAACAGGAGGTATGGTCCTCTGTAAGTGTCAGGGGTGCCATTACAGTTATGGATCTTTAGGGAGGTTGTGTCATTTTGGGTTGAAGAGAGACTGCTAGAAATCAGGCCGTTGGTAAGATAACCCTTTTTAAACATTTTATTAACTAATTACAACACAAGGGTAAAGTCGCCATAGTCCCAGAGGACCACAGGACTGCTGTCTCATTCCAGCGAGGTAACTAGTGGTCAGTTTAACCTGAGGGTCAGCACACTGCAGGTAAAGGGGTGAAGTTGAGAAGGAGGGGCCTTCATGGTGACTTTAGCTGGTACAAAAATGGAACCCTTGCTGTTACCGTCACTATTTATTCAGTCATTCCTTATTATTTGGCAATATTATTTAACATTCAGAAACTCTGCAGAAAACTTGGGGACTTTCAATTCCTTGTGCATTAATCTCAGAAAGCTACCATTCAAGTTCAGTGGGTAGTAGGGAAGGCAAATGGAATGCTGGCCTATATTTCAAAGAGAATGGAATCTAAAAATGGTGAGATCTTTCTACTTCTGTACAAGGTACTAGTTAGACCACACATGGAAGAGATTTGGATCTCATATCTAATGAAAGATATGTTAGCATTGGAGGCAGTTGAGAAGAATTTCACTGGGCTGATTCTAGGTAGGGAGGACTGTCTTATGAGGAGAGGTTGAGCTTGTAATCTTTAAGTTTAGAAGAATGAGAGGAGACCTTATTGAAATACATATTTTGCAAGGGATAGCAGAGTCATGTGGTTCACAATTCAAAAAGTAACAAATTGATCAGAACACAAACACTTGGTTTTCTATTTTTATGATTAGCCTCATTAACTGAATTCCAGCCTAGACAGTGACGTTTCTGTTTAAGCAATTATTTACAGATAAGTCAGATGTTAATTGATAATTTGTCCATTCGAAGCTAAATCTTCAGAATGTATGAGAACAGAAACTAGAAAATAAAAAAAAACAATTTGTTTTGGAAAAGCCAATAAAGGGTCAAAAAAGACTAAAACTTACTGTTCTGGGACTGCCCAGTGTAAGTGTCAGGTGTGGGTCTCTGAAGGAGGCTGTTCAGGATGAACAGAGACTGCTAGAAACTAAACTGTTGGTTTAACGCTGTTTAATTAAACACTTTTCTGACTATTTACAACATAAAAGATAGCATAATATTTAATACAGAACTACCTCTCCAAAGTCTTCTGTCATATGACCTTTCACAACACTGATGATGCGTATTATTTACAGATTTAACAACCCCCTACACAGAACCCACATTGGACATCCTTTGTTAACTTTGCCAAAACCAGAGTCACAATGAGATTGCTTGAATTAAGCAATGAGAACCATCACTAAAATTATTGATAACATTGACGAAACTTCTTTGCATTAATTTTAATTAGCATCCCAAACTATACATTACATCAGCTAGCAAGATCATCTAGTTGACAATTCAACAAGTAAATATTCTTAAGAGGCTTGACAGGTTGGAGGTGGAGAAGGTGCTTCCGCTTGTGGATGAGTCTAAGACCAGCAAGAATGATTTCAGGACTTAGGGGTCACAACTAAGACAGAGATCAGGATAAATGTTCTCTCTCAAAGGGTAGCCAATCTATGGAATTCTCCACTGTAGAGGGCTGTTGAGGTTGGGTCATCAAGTGTATTCAATGCTGAAAGAGACTGCTTTTTTAGTCAGTAAGGGAATTAAGGGTGATGAGGATAATTCAGGAATGTGGAGTTGGAGGATTATCAGATCAGCCATGATTTAGTTGAATGGCTGGTTAGACTCAAAAGGGCGAATAGCGTAATTCTGCTCCTGCCTGTTATGGTCAGATAACTTTCTGCACATCTTCCTTCCTTGGAGAGTTTTGGATTGGTGGTGGCAGCTAATATAAGATTGATGCCAACAGCTCAACCACCTTATCCTTGTTGCAGGCCTATCGATTTCATTGTATATTCAATTAATTCAGTATAAATATTTTAGCTTGATGTGGAAATTTTATTTAATAAGTGTCTTTTTACATTATGCCTTGCATGAGGATTATCCCCACTAACTGAATTTAAATTAATTTAGTGTTGCTACTCAGTGGGAAACTTTGGAATTCTCTACACTGGAGGTGTGTACCAGAGGAAACTCAATCAGTGTCAAGACAGAAGCTGATAGATTTCTAGATACACATAACACCAAGGGATATGCAGGTAATGCTGCAAAACGGTATTCAATAATGGGACTTGGACAGTGCAGGCTGGGCCAGCATTTATTTCCCATCCTTAATTTCATAAATTCATAGAGTCATGGAGGTTGACAACATGAAAACAGGCCCTTCAGCCCAACTTGCTATGCTGCCCATTAGTCTTCCTCAAAAAGATGACGGTGAGCTGCCTTCTTGAAACATGGTAATTGGTTTGGTGAATGTTTGAAGGAGAGAATGTAATTCATGATCTAGAATGGTTGACTGAAAGTTCTGAATGGCCTTCTGTTCCTATGGTCCTATCTTCTGGAAAGTCTGTTGGATTTCAGCCTTTAATGCAGAAAATAAAAAGTTATTTTAGAATGGCAGAACAAAAGTTCCGACATTGCCGCACATTATTAATTGCAAACAATGTTACAGATATTAGGAGCTATACATTTTTCTTTTAGTCTAATCAAATTGAAGAACAGAATTCTTCCCACTTCAGGCATCCAGTGTCAAATCCAAATACAGTAAAGTCAGGCACAGAAGTGCCAAATTTAATGTGAACCTACATCAGTCTCAATGTTAGAACTATACACTGCAGCAACTTTATTCCTATTGAATTGAATTTCACCAGAGCTCTTGATGCTACGCTCAGTAAAATCCTGCCTTGATATCAAAGGTAGTCAGTCTCAACTCACCCCTGGAGTTTCGATCTTTTGTTTAGGTTTCTACAAAGGATGCATTGAACAGGAGCCAAGTGGCTCTGGCAGAAGCTAACTAAGTGTCTGCGAGCAGGTTATAGCCTTGCAAGTGCTGGGTTGGATTTGAATTGCAGGTTAAACTTGGGTATTTCTCTACATTGTCAGGTAGGTACCAGTTTTGTAGCTGTACTTGGTCAGTCTGTCCAGGGGTGTGGCTAGTGTTGGAGCACAAGTCTTCAGCACTGTTGCTGGAATGTTGCAGAGCCCATAACCTTTGTGACATTCAGCATCTCTGTCACATGGAGAGAATCAAATTGCTTGAAGATGAGCATCTGTGATCTGCCGAGTTCAGGTGAAGGCCAGGCTGGATCACCAATTCAGCATTTCTGGTTGAAGATAGATGTACGTGTTTCAGCCTTGCCTTTTTCACTGATGTGCTGATCTCGCCCATCATTGAGGTCATGGATATTTATACAGTGATCATCTCCTGTTCGTTGTTAATCAGTAGACCACAAGAAATAAGATTAGGAGTAGGTCATTTAGCCCCTCAAGCCTGCTCCGCCGTTCAATAGGATCATAGCTGATCCAGCATTCTTCATAACCACTTTCCTGCCTTTTTCCCATAACCCTTAATTCCTGTATTGATCAAGAATCTATCTCCAAAGGACACAGCCCCACAGCTCTCTGTGGGAAGGAGTTCCTATGACTCACAACCCTCACTACATTGAGACTGATGTAGGTTCGCATTAAATTTGGTACGACTATGCCTGACTTTACTGTATTTGGATTTGACACTGGATGCCTGAAGTGGGAAGAATTCTGTTCTTCAATTTGATTAGAAGAAAAATGCATAGCTCCTAATATCTGCAACATAGAAGAAATTACTCCTCATCTTAGTGTTAAATTTATTCTAAAATGCCTTCTGGTCCTAGACTCTCCCATGAGGGGAAACATCCTCTCAGAATTTAGCCTGTCAAGCCCTTAAGAATCCTATGTGTTTTAATGGGATCACCTCTCATTCTTCTAAACTCCAGTGAGAAGAGTCCCAACCTGCTTAACCTTTGCTTGTAAGACAATCCCTGCATACCAGGTATCATTCTTCCGAAGAACTGAAAACAAAAATGCTGGAAATCACAGCAGGTCAGGCAGCATCCATGGAGAGAGAGAGCAAGCTAACATTTCAAGCCTAGGTGACTCTTCATCAGACCTGACGTGAAGTGTGCATTTATGCAATAGTGGGGGGTGGAGTGCTCAGGGAGAAAGGATGATGATAGAGCAGGTTAAGTGATCAGAATGTGAGAATGGCAGAACAATGGTGTGTTTAACTGCCAGGCTGGAAAGAACAGATGGTTCCACTGGAATGGGGGGAAGAGGGTGAGGACATGGTGATAGAGAATGCAATAAGTAAAGCTAAAAGAAGGGGTAGAAATGGGATTGAGTTAACAATCTG